GAAATCATTGATCATAGGAAGGCAGTTTTTTCATCATCTGTAAAATGACCTATTCAAAAACCTTTGATGGAAACAATAATTGGTTTCATATCAGTTATGAGAATGACTCCATTAATCATAGGAAGTTTTTCTGATTTCAGCTGACCTATTCAAACAAGATTGACCAATACAAAAACTGGCTGATAACTAACAGCTATTAAGATGAAGTCATTACTCATAGGTAGGCATGAAATATTGGTGACTCATTCGACAATTTTTTGATGAAATAAAAACTGGTTTGTTATCAGATATAAGACTGAAATCATTGATCATGGGACGGCAGTTCTTCATCATCCAATACTTGGCCTGATCAAAAAGACTGATGAAAATCAACAATTGAATTGCTTTCAGATGTAAAATGTGATCAAAAACCATAGGAAGGCAATTATTTTATCACTTTGTATTTGAACTAATCAAACATTTTCGATGAAAAAAAACTATTCTGTTATCTGATATAAGATTGAAATCATTATCATAGAAAGGCAGTTTTTTCATCATTTATTTGTTGAAATAAATAAAAGTTTTCGATGAAACAAGATCTGGTTTAGTATCAGATTAAAGACTGAAACCATTGATCATAGGAAGGCAGTTTTTCATCATTTGTAAAATGACCAATTCAAAAAGATTTTGATGGAAGCAATAACTGGTTTCTTATCAGTTATGAGAATGAATGCATTAATCATAGGAAAAAGTTAAGGTTTTTCCTCAGTTTTTAGCTGACCTATTCAAACAAAATTGATGAATACAAAAACTGGTTGATAACTAACAGCTATTAACATGAAGTCATTACTCTTAGGAAGGCATAAATTATTATTGACTCATTCGCCAACTTTTTGACGACATAAGAATGGTTTGCTATCAGATATGAGACTGAAATTTGATCAAATGAAGGCAGAATTTTCTTTTTTCAATTTCGATGAAAAAAAAACTATTTTGTTATCGGACATAAGATTGAAATCATTATCATAGAAAGGCAGTTTTTTCATCAATTATTAGTTGAACTATTTAAAAGTTTTCGATGAAACAAGATCTGGTTTATTATCAGATAAAAGACTGAATTCATTGATCATAGGAAGGCAGTTTTTTCATCATTAGTAAAATGACCTTTTCAAAAACCTTTGATGAAAACAATAATTGGTTTCATATCAGTTATGAGAATGAATCCATTAATCATAGGAAGTTTTTCTGATTTCAGCTGACCTATTCAAACAAGATTGACCAATACAAAAACTGGCTGATAACTAACAGCTATTAAGATGAAGTCATTACTCATAGGTAGGCATGAAATATTGGTGACTCATTCGACAATTTTTTGATGAAATAAAAACTGGTTTGTTATCAGATATAAGACTGAAATCATTGATCATGGGACGGCAGTTCTTCATCATCCAATACTTGACCTGATCAAAAAGACTGATGAAAATTAACAATTGGTTTGCTTTCAGATGTAAAATGTGATCAAAAACCATAGGAAGGCAATTATTTTATCACTTTGTATTTGAACTAATCAAACATTTTCGATGAAAAAAAAACTATTCTGTTATCTGATATAAGATTGAAATCATTATCATAGAAAGGCAGTTTTTTCATCATTTATTTGTTGAAATAAATAAAAGTTTTCGATGAAGCAAGATCTGGTTTAGTATCAGATTAAAGACTGAAACCATTGATCAAAGGAAGGCAGTTTTTCTTCATTTGTAAAATGACCAATTCAAAAAGATTTTGATGGAAGCAATAACTGGTTTTTTATCAGTTATGAGAATGAATGCATTAATCATAGGAAAAAGTTTAGGTTTTTCCTGTTTTTAGCTGACCTATTCAAACAAAATTGATGAATACAAAAACTGGTTGATAACTAACAGCTATTAACATGGAGTCATTACTCTTAGGAAGGCATAAATTATTATTGACTCATTCGCCAACTTTTTGACGACATAAGAATGGTTTGCTATCAGATATGAGACTGAAACTTGATCAAATGAAGGCAGAATTTTCTTTTTTCAATTTCGATGAAAAAAAAGCTATTTTGTTATCGGACATAAGATTGAAATCATTATCATAGAAAGGCAGTTTTTTCATCAATTATTAGTTGAACTATTTAAAAGTTTTCGATGAAACAAGATCTGGTTTAGTATCAGATCAAACACAGGAACCATTGATCATAGGAAGGCAGTTTTTCATCATTTGTAAAATGACCTAATCAAAACGATTTTGATGGAAACAATAACTGGTTTCTTATCAGTTATGAGAAAAAACCCATTAATCATAGGAAATAGTTTAGACTTTCCTCAGTTTTTTTTCTTACCTATTCACACAAAATTGATGAATACAAAAACGGGTTGATAACAGCTATTAACATGAAGTCATTACTCTTAGGAAGGCATAAATTACTATTGAATCATTCGCCAACTTTTTGATGACATAAGAATGTTTTGTTATCAGATATAAGACTGAAATTTGATCAAAGGAAGGCAGTTTTTTCATCAATTATTAGTTGAACTATTTAAAAGTTTTCGATGAAACAAGATCTGGTTTATTATCAGATAAAAGACTGAAATCATTGATCATAGGAAGGCAGTTTTTTCATCATTAGTAAAATGACCTATTCAAAAACCTTTGATGAAAACAATAATTGGTTTCATATCAGTTATGAGAATGAATCCATTAATCATAGGAAGTTTTTCTGATTTCAGCTGACCTATTCAAACAAGATTGACCAATACAAAAACTGGCTGATAACTAACAGCTATTAAGATGAAGTCATTACTCATAGGTAGGCATGAAATATTGGTGACTCATTCGACAATTTTTTGATGAAATAAAAACTGGTTTGTTATCAGATATAAGACTGAAATCATTGATCATGGGACGGCAGTTCTTCATCATCCAATACTTGACCTGATCAAAAAGACTGATGAAAATTAACAATTGGTTTGCTTTCAGATGTAAAATGTGATCAAAAACCATAGGAAGGCAATTATTTTATCACTTTGTATTTGAACTAATCAAACATTTTCGATGAAAAAAAAACTATTCTGTTATCTGATATAAGATTGAAATCATTATCATAGAAAGGCAGTTTTTTCATCATTTATTTGTTGAAATAAATAAAAGTTTTCGATGAAGCAAGATCTGGTTTAGTATCAGATTAAAGACTGAAACCATTGATCAAAGGAAGGCAGTTTTTCTTCATTTGTAAAATGACCAATTCAAAAAGATTTTGATGGAAGCAATAACTGGTTTTTTATCAGTTATGAGAATGAATGCATTAATCATAGGAAAAAGTTTAGGTTTTTCCTCAGTTTTTAGCTGACCTATTCAAACAAAATTGATGAATACAAAAACTGGTTGATAACTAACAGCTATTAACATGGAGTCATTACTCTTAGGAAGGCATAAATTATTATTGACTCATTCGCCAACTTTTTGACGACATAAGAATGGTTTGCTATCAGATATGAGACTGAAACTTGATCAAATGAAGGCAGAATTTTCTTTTTTCAATTTCGATGAAAAAAAAGCTATTTTGTTATCGGACATAAGATTGAAATCATTATCATAGAAAGGCAGTTTTTTCATCAATTATTAGTTGAACTATTTAAAAGTTTTCGATGAAACAAGATCTGGTTTAGTATCAGATCAAACACTGGAACCATTGATCATAGGAAGGCAGTTTTTCATCATTTGTAAAATGACCTAATCAAAACGATTTTGATGGAAACAATAACTGGTTTCTTATCAGTTATGAGAAAAAACCCATTAATCATAGGAAATAGTTTAGACTTTCCTCAGTTTTTTTCTTATCTATTCACACAAAATTGATGAATACAAAAACGGGTTGATAACAGCTATTAACATGAAGTCATTACTCTTAGGAAGGCATAAATTACTATTGAATCATTCGCCAACTTTTTGATGACATAAGAATGTTTTGTTATCAGATATAAGACTGAAATTTGATCGAAGGTAGGTCAAGTAATGAATGATTAGGTCAAGTAATCATTCATTACTTGACCTAATCAAAAAGACTGATGAAAATCAAAAACTGGTTTGTTGTAAGAATTATAGTGTGATCAAAAACCATAGAAAAGTAGTTATTTTATCATTTATTAATTGAAATATTCAAACATTTTCGAAGAAAAAATGGTTTGTTATCAGATATAAAGAGTGAAATCAATGATCAAAGGAAGGCAGTTTTTTCATCGTCCATTACTTGAGCCAATCAAAAAGTTTAATGACAAATAAAAACTGGTTTGTTGTCAGATATAACATTGAAATCATTAATTAAACCGAATCATACAGATTAATGAAAATCAAAAACTAGGTTTGTGTCAAATATTAAGTGTGAACCATAGAAAGGCAGTCATTTTATCAATTATTATTTGACCTATTCGAAAAAATTGATGAAAAAAACTGCTTTGTTATCAGATATAAGAGTGAAAACATGGATCATAGGAAGACAGTTTTTCCATCATTAAGTAGATGACCTTTTCGACAGTTTTTAAATGAATATAAAAACAGGTTCGTTACAGATATTTTTGTAAAATCATAAATCATATAAAGGCAGTATTTCAATAGCAATTAATAAATATTAGGACAAGGAAACAATTAGCTTAGGAATGCAGTTTTTTATCATACGAGTAACCTCTTTCACAGAATGTTTATTTTACGACTGAGACACAAGTTATTTAAACATGATTGTTGGACATAAATGACTATTGAATTAAATCATTCACCAAAGAAGGCAATTTTTCCAACATTTTAATTTGTGGCCTATTCTAAAGAGCTTTAATTTGAAAACATAACATATGGCTCCCCATCAGACATTGAATAAAATCAAAAGTCAGAGGATGGTGGATTGTTCATCATTAATTGGAGCTACTTGACAATTCAAGACTATCAAACAACGAGGCAATCTAAGGAATATAAGCTTGCATGTAAACTGTATAAAATTAACTAGCCTGTATGAGAAAGAAAGTATCGATTGTGATAGAGTAGCACAAATCTGTAAGGAGCATGCTGAAACTCCACTTGAAGGTCTCCGGACTGGTCTGACCTTGAAAAGAGGACAACTGATCTCCTGTTCCATTCCTTATTTGAAATCTCACTTGGTGAGAGATGTTTGGACGGAGTTTGAAGAGCGCGTCTGCTATGTCCTGCCACCAGAGACAATTGGCAACTCTGGTCGCTATGTAAACCGGGATGATCCAAAAACTACCAAACAGAAAGTTGAACATGTATCCCACAACATCTCTGAATCCTGAAAGGCAAAAAAAGAATAGTCAAATTGGTATAACAAGACTTTGTATGAAGCGACGTATAAAATGCTTTAAAAATGAGAAAATATTTCACTTTCCTAATTAGCAGTTGCAAACGCGTTACAAAACTGAAATTTCTATATTTCAAGATTTCTAGAACAAGTTACAACACATTGACACCCGTTGACTTTCAAAAAATTTATGACACATTTCGGCCGATGATGACAGTTTTGTTTTGTCTTCTATCTTACAAGTAACTTTTCAACAGTTTCAAACATGCTTTTCGAAAAACGAACGTCCTTGGTCTTTTCTTGGGCTTTTTTCGTCGTATTCTTCCACTCCTCTTCTCCTTATTCTAATTTTTGTCTGGTTTTGGGGTAGCTTTAAATTAATTTAATTGATTTTTCTTGTAGTTTGATCTGATTTCTATGTGTATCTGTGTTTTGAAAGCAAGTGTTCAAGACCGTGACTCGAAGCTCCTTCATTTAGTTCATTTTTTCGATTTGTTCCTTAAATTCATTAGGTTTGGTATGTCACATGGCCTTCTCACGATGATCTGTTGACACCAGGTCATTACAGAAAAGAAGGACATTAAAGCCTAGCTCTTTTGTACCACCGAAGGCATCGTTACTTAACTAGGTGGACTTTTCATTTGTATGTATTTTGCATCCGGAAGTTAAACAATTAAATGACAGTTCTCGTGAACGAATTGTGAGGTTGTTTATTTGACATATTTTTGTTGTTGAGTTGAGCAAATACAAAAGAAAACGACAAGACTGCTCGTATATCAGAGCGAAGCAATCAAGGGCGTAGCAATCAGGGCGCAGCAATCAGGGCGCATATCAGCGCTCGTATATCAGGACCTGCACTTAAAGGTCGATTCAAAAGTTTTGGTTAGAAAAATTGACAACAATCGAAAAAAAAAAACGTTTTTCTTTTTTTCTTCAATTTACCCCCCCCCCCCCCACACACGCTATGTAAACAATGAAGGGATGTATTTAGCGTCTTGTGTCTCAATAATGCGACCAAATGACAAGCCATAATTCAAAATGGAACGCACTCCTTCGCCGCTTACGCGTTTTGAAAACGCAATATATTGCGCGCTAATTGTCCCAAATTGGCTAAATTAACGAAAAACTATCACAAAGGCTCAGAAAAAATGCTTTCACTAAACACTTTCTTGGCAATAACAAAAAATCAATGGTTTTCTAAACATCAATTGAATTTTTTTGTGATTTGTCTTATGCATTTTTTGAAGCTAATGTATTTTTTTATGAACGTCCTGCATCAGCAGTCCTGAAATCTGGAAAATATTAATTTGTTTATTAGTGTTAGATAGCTTCTTTGCGCTCCGTTTGATAAATTGATGGGCAAGCGTCTAAATCCAAAATTGAGTGATCACTTTTCAGCTTCTACCTCAGAAAAACACACCAGCTGAATAAGGGAAAACTCACTTCGTTCAGTAACTTAAAAACTGATCGAACTTATTTTACTAAACAGCTTCTGAAGAGACTAAAAGAAATATCTAATACCCCAAAACAGTACCTGCGATCGGTTGTGGTAAAATGACGTACAGCACCCAGAGAACGATCGGCAGAAATACATTGTAGAAGATAAGCAGGCTGGTTAGAAAGATGCCCCCGTTGATGAAGCACGACTGGACAACCTTCTTTGCTACCTGAAGTCATTCAAACCGGTTAAGCTGATATGAAACTCACATGATGACTAAACAATGCTAGGCAAAATTTAAAAAAGTTCTTCAGTATTTTCAGTTCTAGGTGGAAATAATTGTTTTATAAATTTTTCAAACAGTAGGAGATAATTTTCATCTCGACTCGTTTATTTCTCAAATCGATTTGACATCTTAATTTTTAGAAATTAGGTATCCGGCTTTAAAAAGCACAAACGTTGACGCGACAAATTATAGCAGATGCGATAAATAAATTATACTAACTTTTGGTGGTTTTTTAGGTTTTAAACGGTGATTGGGAACTCGAAAACCTTTTTCTTTTGCTTCCAGCACCCGTTCGTAACGTTCTGTAAGCTTTTTCTCAAGCAAAGCATCAATAGTCCAGATTGAAAGCAAACCCTTTAGAGATTGTAAGAAGCCCAAGAATAAATTGTCGATGAAAAACTTCAAGTTCATCCGAAACCTTAAAATGCAATAAATATCTATCAATATATGTTGCTCTTCTAAAAAACACTTTCTTTTCACAATATTCATTTTAATCTCAGAAGTAAAAAAAACATGAGTACAATTTTATTTACAACAGCTATTTGTGATCACAAATTTGCCACGAAGTATCCCCATACTAATTTAACCAGAATAATATTGCTTTTTCTATTTCGATTTCTGTTTCAGCTCTTTTCTTTTCACGGCAACCAACAAGTTGGAGGCTTCGAAAAGCAGGTACGCTAAACAAACAAAAGCTTGGACAATAATAGGAACTGACCATATACATATAATGAAAATTCCTCCTGAATCAAAATACTGATGATGTGCGAAGTATTTATAGTTCTTTGCAAGAACTTCATTCATTGGCTCGCTGGCGTAACACAAACATAACAAGGCAACAAGATGAACAAAAACATATGAGCTACTTTTTCTTTTACAAGTAACAATTGCCAGCGACAAAAAATGCATCACGATGATGCAGACCAGCCATGGTTCCTTCAAAATCTCGATATCGCGAGCCGCTTCTAGAAATGTAGCATTTGCAAAATCAGCAGGAACCCAATAGAAGGTCGAATTTGGCATCGTTTCGTTGAAAAACGAAGCTAGAGTATCTACAATTCCGTTTGTGAAATCCATGACTTCCTAAAATAATCCAGAAGACTGATACATAAGAATAATAATAAATAAAAAACAAGGATTTAGACATAAAGCCATGGGGCTAAAATGCCCCGCGTTGGGAGTTTTAAACTGAGTTTTATAGTTTCTTTGAGTTTACACAGCTATTGCAGCAGTTTATTCTCCATGTGCATGGGACACTTTCCTCATATTTACTGATGAAATATATCCAGAAAACGTTTTTGAGGCTTGATTTGAGTCTTTCGTATTTCATCGCAAACAGGTCTTCTTCTTTCTGAGTCTGTAAAATTTTGTTTGCTAGTATAGGTGTTCTGTGCCAGAAATTGCTTTTCGATTTTTCGTAATGATAATTTTTATGCGCTAAGTTATTTTTCGTTGATCTTCTTGTTGGTGCTGTAGATTCTTTGAACTGAACAAATTGTCTCCAATGGAAGTTGTATTGGTCGTTTATTATTTTATGAAGCAAGAGAATGTCGTGCATTTCGTGGTAGAGAGACAGTGGAAGCAGGTTTAATCTAATCAGTCTGTCTTTATAGTTGATGTTGTTACATGACAGTATCCAACGTGTAGCTTTTCTTTGGACATCTTCAATAATTCTTAATTCACACTTATTTGCTTTCCATATGGGTGAGCCATATGACACAATTGGGGTTACATATCCACATTAGGAGTTCAGTTTCATTTTTAAGCTCGCTGATTTTGAAATATTTCTTTTAATTAAAAATAAGCAGCCTATTGCTTTTTGGGCTCTTATTTTTGCGTGTGCTGACCAGTTTAGGTTGTTGGTTATTTGTATACCAAGGTCTTTTTCTGAACAGGTTTTTTCAAGTATATGGTCACCGAGATACATGTTTAGGTCAAGTTGGGGGTCTTTGAATATTATATTGTGACATTTTTTCAGATTAAGACTCATGGAATTATCTTTGCACCATAAGTTGATCGTGATTAGGTCATGTTGGAGCAGGAAAGGGTTCGTTGCAACTATTTTATAATCGTCTGCGTAACCATAGCACGAGTTGGTGAGTGATGACGGTAAATCGTTGATGAATGTAATGAAGAATACTGGCCCTAACAGTGGGCCTTGAGGTACGCGGCTACTAACTTCAAGATGGCTGGATACTGCCGCACCTATTCGTACTTGCTGTTTTCTGTTGGTTAAGTAGTTTGCTAATAGTTTAAGTGCGTTTCCTGATATGCCAAATTTATTGAGTTTATATATGCACAAGTCGTGAGGAACTTTGTCGAAAGCCTTTTCGAAGTCTAAGTATATTGCCTGTAGAGACTTGATATTAGGGTTATCAAAGTCATCATAGATTTTGTCGAGGAATTGGAGCATTTGCAGAGTTGTCGATCATTTAGGACAGAAGCCAAATTGGCTGTCATGGATTTGCGAGAAGATCTTTGGTGAGATTTTAAGGAAGATCAGTTTCTCTAAGACTTTGGATACTGCAGTTAGCAGGCTGATGGGCCTGTAGTTTGTGACCGATTGCTTGTCTCCATTTTTAAAAGTTGGGATGATTTGGCTAAGTTTCCAGATCGTTGGAAATGTTGCTTTGTTGGTGATGGTGTTATAAATCAGTTTTAGAGATGAAGTTATGCTATCTGCTAAATTGGTTAGGACTGTGTTACCGAGTCTATCTGGTCCTCTTGCTTTTTGGAGGTTTAATGTTTTAAGGATGTCGTATATCTCATTTTCAGAGAAATTGAAGCATTTGATTGAGCCAGGTAATTCAGCTATTGGTAAAATGTTTTCATTCTGTTTAATGTTAAAAACGCTTACGAAGTAATTGTTTAGAAGATTAGCTTTACCGTGCTCTGTTGATTCGGTTTTTTCATTCCAGTGCATTGTTTTTGGAGTACTTGAGTTTTTTCGTATGCTTTTAAAGTATTTGTGGAGCTTTGAGAAATTTCTGCCCTTGAAAGTTGATTCTTCGAAATTTTTCTGATCTAATTCGGATAATTGATTTACAAGGTTTTTAAGTCTTTCAAGATTGCGGTTATTAGTATGATTATTTTTAAAGGCTAATTTTTTTGATGCTGTGTTGAGTCTTTTGATAATATTGGAGGTTTCAGGTGTGATCCAAGGTGCTAGGTTCATACAGTGTTTGGTCTGTTTTTTCATGTGTTTTTCTAGTGCTATATATAGCCAGAGGTACCATGAGTTGATTAAGTGGTCAATGTTAGAGTAGCAATACGGTTGAAATGGGTGTTCCAAAATGTATTTGTTTAAAGTAATCCAATCGACGTTGTTTAATGAGAAGACACCAAAGTCCAGAAAGTCGGATCCGTGTTGTATGGGAGTGGCTTTTTCGTCATTGTGTGTAAGAGATGATATCGTGATTAGAAAAGGGTTGTGGTCTGATAATTCTCTTTCTTAGTGTGAGAAGTGTTTTTTGATATGGTTGTCTATCGTGGTGTTTAAAATAATGTCGGGGTTGTTGCAAAGGACAATATCTAATTGGTCATGAGGGGGTTCGATAAACTGTTGAAAGTTCATATTAGTAAAAGTCTGCAGTACCAATTGTTCGTGTTTTTGGGTTGATTGCAAGGTTTGCCAATGCGTATTAGCGAAGTTGATGTCACCAACCAATAAAATATTTGGGCATTGAAATTCATTTGAGTAGTCAGTTAGCATATTCAATAGTTTGTTGAAGTCATCTGTGGATAGCTTATATTTGCTTTCGTTCGGGGCACTGTAGATACAGCATAGGATGAGATGTGTCGGAGTGCTAAGGAGGAGTCCAACGCAGTCCGTAGTGTGTATTTCAAGTTTTGTGAAAGCTAGGGATTGCTTAACAGCAATAAGCACGCCCCCGTGTTTCGATTTTGTTGAGTTGGTAGGTCTATCACATCTAGTTATTATGTGTGCAGGCAGAAAAAGCGCGTTGTCAGGGATATTTTCAGTTAACCAAGTTTCGCTTAAGCAAATGATGTTATAATCGTTCGATAGTATTAAATTGCTAAGTTTCATACGTCTATTTATATCCAGTATACTTCGTGTATTGAATGACATAACATTCAGCGATTCTAGTCAGTTGTCATTTCTAGTCTGAATTGTGCTGTTTTCCTCCGGTTTAATTGTAACTTTTGTCCAGGTGTCGTCTACTTTTTCATGCAGTTCAGGTTTCTGATTCGAAGATTTTTGGGGTTTTTACCACTGCTGATGAGATTTCTACGTTCTCTCAGGATGGCGTTTTCCAGTTTCATTTCTTCGGCTGAGAGTTCCTTACTTATGAAGACATTTTTGTCATAATTTTTGAGGGCCGGTGTTGATGATAGTATCAAGTCTATTTCTCTTGGACAGGTTACTCGTACCAGTATAGTTCTGTGGTTTGCTCGTTCTTCGCTGAACTTTCCCAAACGCTTGAGATCAGTGATATTGCATTCAAGGTTTAAGAATTTTATGATTTTATTTACCTCATCATAGTCATGGTCAAGTCTTTTTCTTCCATCTCTTTCCTTGATCTCGGGGACCCCTCTTATTCTCAATTCTTTGCTCAGGGGTTTGATTATGATTTGCGCCGCTACTTGTGACCAGGTTTTACCCTGTTCTGCTATTGGCAGGCTTTGGATGGGATCTTTAATATTTTCCAGTTTTGTTTAGACTTCGGCTACTACTTCACTTAATTTTGAAATTTCTTCTTCAATTTTTTTGATGTTTTCACTTTTGTCATGTGATGCTGTGCTTCTGATTACTTGATCTCTTTTTCCGTTGGACAAACAGGTATTGCATATCAGTAGTGCGTTGTTACCAAGTTCCAGTATTCCATTGAGTGCAACGGTCGAGAGGCCAGTGCAGACAACTTCAAGGTGCATAGAGCAATTACAGGTGATGCAATTGTATATTGGGTCATTTTCGTTTATGGGTTTCTTGCATGTTTTGCAAGGTTTTTTGTCCTTTGACATTCTCAGTTTTATATATGTTTACGTCCTCTTATCTCTGTGGAAACTGTGTTTGGGGGATGAAGGTTCAGGTAGTGTACTCGAGTCCTCAGGGTGGTACCTAAAGGGCGCCGATTGAGGAGTGAAGTATCAGTGTTAGGGTTATGAAAACAGTTGTTTGGAACCTTAAGGGTACTTGATGACTAGCGGGAGAAAACGGTTTTATTTATAGATGTGAATTCACAAAGACATCAAATCTGGCGATACCTAAAAGGTATCAATAGAAAATTCAGTCTCTGTGAAAATGATGACACCGACAAATGTTGTTGCCGCAGTGGTATATATTCGAGTAGCCCTCGCTATCAGTTTTTACACAGAACGTCTTGTAGATGATCTTGTTTTTCAAAATCGTTTGGAGACTCGCAAGCGATGCTGTTGTTAAATGCACTTCGTTGGAAGAT